GCAGCTTCATATTTATACATATGCAAGAGAATATGTAAATGTTGAATATGTTTTCAGCTTTCAAAATTTCTGATATGTATAAGCTCCTTTAACAGCACTGTGTAACTGTGAATATGAACTACTAGAGTAACCTGGTACAAATCGTAAATTTTTTGTGTTAATTTTTGCCAGTGCACCAATGTATTTTACTCTTGAAGAAGAACTATTTTAGAAATGTGCATACATTGTATTTAAAAATATCTTCAAACGTAAAAACTTAAAGCAGCCCTGAAAGAATCATTCGGGTGATCTCAGCAAAAACCCGACGAAAGTTCTACGCCTATGAAAGATATACTTCATAATCATTTTATGAAAGATTATTTTCAAAAACTACCAATTAAATTCGTTTCGCCTGGGACGGTTTTAAAATACTATTCTCCATATAAGTTAAAGAAATCATAAAAATTCAGTTTGGGTTGCCCTTAGAAAACTCCTCTTAAATCTGTCGCAGAGTGTAATTTATATGCAGTGACGTATGAGCAACTTTTTATACCATGGATACTAGTGGTGGCAAACTATCTCGATGGGACTATCCGTGGCATCGGTGGTGCCAAATATCGACAGTAGATGATATCGATAGTATCGACGATACGTCATACCTATATAAATATGTAGACGTGTTGTGAACTTCATAGCGTAATTTCGCAGAACTAGCGGGCATAGTGATAGGTACGCATAGCGTAACTAAATAATTTTGCAAATTTTTGGCTTTTTAGGTATACATTTTTCTCCTCGATGCCAGTAAAATTACAAATGAACTACGAACTTCATTTTTAGGGGTGTACAGCTCTCTAAGCTCAGGCCACCTGGGGCCGCAGTTTGGCGAGCTTTGGATGGCCTAATTCGTTAGGTTATAATTAATCACTCCAGTCTCAATTTATCTTTTAATGAAAGTACTTAAAAAATTTAACAGAAGAAAAACTTAAAAAAAAATAACAGGCTCTGTGCCAAATTTTTGCATCTGTGCTAAAGCTTGTTCTGTTGTAATGAAATCAAGTTACCAATGAAGAAAATCTATCGATCGATAAATTAAAAAGTAACTAAAATATCATTTCATCAAAGTATCTAAAATACTTTTATTGAATTCTTTTAGCTTTCGCTATGCAAAAAAAAATGTCGATACATTACTAAGCACGATCTTTCAGTTTATTTTTACCATGTTTATTCGTTTTTATATTGAAATGAAAGATTTATACATACAATGTAAATGTTATAACAAAATAATGCTGGATTTCCACTAGGCATTAAATGGCAAAAATGACAAAGTCGAGCATTAAAAAATAATCGTGTCAGTACATTAAAAAAATAATCATTAAGTTCATTTTCACATGGCATTTTTATAAATGGCATATATTTTTTGTCATTTAAATGCCTAGTGGAAATTCGGCATTAGAAATTTTTTAAATTCTGGGAAAGCTGATTAACAATCAGCATTATGTACGTGCAGTTAAAAAAATAGTAGTACTACTGTGATAAAAAGGCAGGTTAAGAAAAATGATAACAATGCTATCGCCAGCAATAAATTATTTGATTATGTTATCAAATCCGCTGAGTAGCCTAAATATTAATAAGTATTACGAGATTTATAATTTCTTCCGAATTTCACGAAACGGCGAGCAAAAGTATTTCCCCGAATAAATGAACAAATTGCGGTACGCGGCTACAACCACATATGGGCAAATCTCAGAAAGAGTATCTAAACAAAAAATGGGAAAAATGCAAGTACATAATTATAATTTTCACATTTTTGTATTAAGAATGACATAGTACAATAAATATTTATTAATTTCATATTTCTTTTCACACTTATTTGAGAAATATGATTTGGCCCCCTTATTTCTTGAAATAAATATCTTTATTTAAACTGCTACATATTTAATCGCTTTAAAACAATCGCTGCTAACCACAAAAAGAGTAAGGTCCAAAACAAAAATATACAATAATTTAAATGTTATTCCAACCTTCAGTTTCCTTTTTAACCGACTTCCAAAAAAGGAGGAGGTTATTAGTTCGTCGAAATATTTTTTTTTTATGTATGTTACCGCATAACTTTGGACCACGTCAACCGATTTCGATAATTCTTTCTGCATCATTTCTACACCGCCATTTGTTGGGGGCCCGCATGTATTAATGACCATGCCCTTATTTTCTCTTGGACGCGCTGCTCATAAGTACTGCTTTAAACATTTCCTTAAACCTACTACGAAAATTTGTATACTTAATTAAAAGTAATGTCTGCAACGCCAAGGTTTGCCCGTACCTATACACCGTAAGAGCTCATTTCTGGGCAAACGTACAGTTTTGTATTAGGAACTACGATTAAAATCAATAAAATAATTAATTACACTAGGCAACAAGAATTTTCAGCACGATCTGTCAGTATGTTTCTCTTATGTGGTTCAACCTTAAACCATGAAAAAATAATTTCAGTGGTAAAATTTCTTTTCCACTTAATTAAAATTTTTTTCATATAATTTTTTTAATATTAATCTCTAAAAAAATTAAACACAAAAAATTATGTATTTCGAAAAAACTCAAGAAAGCATATTTTTTAGTCGATTAAATTTTATTGAAAAAATTAGAAAAAAAGATTTCTTTCTTAATTTTTTATAATTTTTTTTTCAAAAAAAATGTATCTACTTAAAAAGATATATATTTCTTATTAATTTTTTTCAAAGTAATTTATTTTGTGGTGAAAAATTCGAAAATTTTTTTATTTTATTTAGTAAAGAATATGCATTAGGGTGGTCCAAAAATGCATGTGGAAAAGTATATTGGGAATTTTAATGCCGCCCCCCTTTGGATTGTTCGATACAGAAAAAAATACACCACTATTTTTTTTATTTTGAAACCCAAAAATATTTAGGGAGCGCTCAAAGCGCTCAAAGTTTTCCAAGTATTTTATATGGGGAAAAAACAACTTTTCGTAGAAATGGTATAAAATTTTGGAAAATCAATTTTTTTCGATCGGAAAACTTAGTTTCTCTTCAGTAAATTCTCAATTATAATACCCAATTGTTTCTTTAACCATGCGCTAAAGAGACTAGGCAAATCAGAAAAAATGTATGGTATTTTTTTTCTACTTCCTTCATTCTTTTGTTTTTATGATTTCTATTCGGTTCTTCACCTTAATAGTTTGGTGTAAGCGCGCTTCTCTTTCTTTACTTAGAGTTGGGGCACTGTGCGAAAAAAAACAGTAATAGCCCGAACACAGTGAAAACGACGAGCTACAAACCACAGCTGTCAAATTATTTTAACACGTACTCTTATGTAGATAATTATTTTGGCGACGACCGGGCTACGCGACGGCTGTGGTTGTGGCCAGATTAGATCTATTTCTATTTTTCTGGCGACAGATAAGGTTCTTCCTCTTCTTTTATGTCAAACTCATACAAATTGATCATGTCGCTGCCGCGTTCAAAGAAATCATGTTGCCATCGACAAAGCGCTTAGATAATAAAGATGACAAATTGGAAGGTGTGGTCGGTAGCTCGTCGTTTTCAATGTGTTCAGAGCTTAATTCTTTCGCAAAATTTACGTGATGGACCTTTTTTTATTTTTTGACTTGAATGGCTGTGTGAGGCCAATAATTCAGGCCAAGGGTGGCCAAACTGAAAATCGCACATACAATTTTTAAGATAACTAGCTCATTTGCCAACCTTTACTGAATAATTTATAAATACATTCATAATTAAAGAAAATATGCCATTGCGCCACCCTTTGTATTTATTTAGTATTCCGTCGACGTAGATTATCCACTTCAATTTCAATTCCTACTCATCTGCAATCTTCAATAAATTTTTCCATGACCTGAAAGAGGTGTGTAGCTCTCAAAAATACATTTTCGATTATTTGTTGCATGTATGGCTGTTTTTAGGATGCGCCAGGACGAAAATGTTCAACGCATAAGTTCTTCCAAACTTTTTTTTTTTTGTTTGCATGTGGACAGACCCTGGAGAAAATCTTCTATTGAATATTCTTTTTTTTTTTTTTAACTGAGAAGGAAAACTTTCTTTGCTTTTGTTACCAAGTGTTCTTTTTCGTCACTGTTAAATTCTTATCAATTCAATAAAATTTAAATAAGCTTAGCTAGCCATTTCACAAATCAATCGAAGGCACTTATGTACTAAGTTTGATAAAAACAATCAACCTTGTGAAAAAAGTATAAAATGTAGAAACGCGTCGACAAAGTCATCAGTATTTGCTAAAAGCAGTTGGCGCGAATTATACCTCGAACATAATGAAAGTTGCTCTGCTTATTCTCGGATTTTGTGGCATCGTCGTTGCCACTTTTGCGGCAAGCTCAACGTGGGGTGTAAGGAATGAAACCGATTCAGTTATAATCCAACAGAGGCTGCTTTACCCAGCTATAGCAAATAAGGCGCAGACCGTTTACTTCGATTTACCAGCGTCGGTAAGTAATTATAAATTAACATTTTTATGAAGCTCAAAATTCGTTTATTCTTTTCTTTTATTTTCTATTTACAGAACCAAAGCAATAGCAAAATAATTAGTGCAATCTACGTGCTAGATCAATTCCAAAATAGTACAGGACCAACAAATACCTTAGTTTGGGGTGGACCAGGTTGGACTTATGCCTCTATACAATTGCGTACATCCACCAGCATTGGTCTAAATGTTACCGCTGTTGTTTATGGCAAATAAATAAATTTTAAATTGCAATCAATAAACACTTTCACTTTTTGATAAGTCAGTAAGAATGGATGGAAATGAGGCTCAAATAGTATTTGGGTAACCTTAGTTTTCTTCCGCACTCTTATGTAATTCACGCATTTACTAAATTTGATCAAAAGAAGCAGAAAAAAAAAAA